ACCTACATAAATAATAATTAACGTTACACCTAAAAAAAAATGTGATTGTAATTGTGATTATAAGATAAAAGAGTGTAATTAACATTAATGCCAAAACATTTTCAACTGATTTGTTTCATAAAAAAAAAACTAAAACGTTATGATAACAGAGTTGTATTTTTTTACAGCCTAACTCACAAAATCTGGAATAAATCACAAATCATCGTCGCGGCCAACTGTAACACCAAAAAGAGAAGTTATTTTTACGGGCATAGATGTAACATGTTTGAGTAAAGAAAAAAATACAGATAATGCAACTTTCTCTACAGCTGTGATACTTTTTGACATCCAACACCTTTTGTCTTCAGTCACCGGTGACCACGCAGCTGTAAAGAAAACGTCGATAAATTAAAATTATGTTAAATAGTTGTAATTTTATAATATATCTTTAATGTTAAAAAGTTTTTTAATTGTTTAAAGCAAATAAAAATACTATTTAATTATGTTTTCATTATACGTATAATTTGTAATTACAATTACCTAACAAACTACCAATAAAAAACTATTAAAAAAATTTAGGTCCATGTAGTTTTAGTACCTTTAATGCTGGCAGCGTAATAAGTTAATAAACTTATTTATGATAAAACCTTCAGTAATATAATAAGTTAAAAAGTTTAATGTACCTTACAGTTTTCATATAAAGTTTCCTAAGTGAAATCTCGCCCTCATGTCTATAGCAACCCTTCAGGCCCCACAATTTCATAGCCACATAAAAGCTGAACACTTGCTGTTATCTACCCATCGAGCATATTGTGCGTTTTAGGTTACAACAAAGGAAATATACGGGAATTTATTATGTTTTGAATCGGATGGTGATTTGTGTGAAAATAAAATACGTTATAATAGCTGTGGTCAGGGATATTGTCTAATATTTACTAATAGAGAGCATGCAATTTACTTAACTATTTAAAATGTATTATTTATCAATTATATTTTAGAAATATATGTATGTGTTTCGTTAACAATGTCCAAGTATTGTCTTGTAAAGCTGTGCACTTAAGTTTCTTAACCAAAAGTTAGGGTAGTCTCAGGTTCCTGTGCAAGACCAAATAGCAAACTTGACAATATTATAAACGTATAACAGTTTTGCCGCGCACCAGACTATGGTAACCAGCTGCAGAAGTATTCCAATCCAACGTCTCCACGATGTTCAGAGAAGTGTTAAATCAGTCTAAAGACCACCACTTGCGCCAAAATATGAGCCTGCATGTCATTAATTCCAGATGAGTTCTTTTTTTCAAAAAACTGTAGCCAGCTTTCATAGCTGGAGATTTGTTTTAACTTGTGTTGCAAAAAATACTAAATTTTACTCCGGGGTAATGTAGAATTCTGATAGTGAAGAACTCTTTAATACGTTCAGTATTTTTTGAGTATATTTGTCACAAACATAAAACCTTTTTCATTACATTATTATACAAACACTTCACCTCAAATTTATTTGTATCAAAAAACGCGGCGTTCTACAACAAAATAGAGTTTCACCAGACGAAGGTTCTACTGCAATAAAATTTGCATAACAACCGTGGCAAGGCTGCAGTCTTATTAAATTTCCACCCCAGTCATTAACGGTTTCTTACCTATAGGTATAAATATAAATCATAAGGTATCAGTGGACGACCCGCTGACTTTATTGCGCCCTCAAGAGGCAAGTAATCCATGGATTTGGTTTAAGGATTCCAGATAATCTTTTGTTTACCAATTTTCATGTTACAGGTAATGTATGGGCGATATAATATTTGGTTTTATACGCATTTAATACCTGAATGAAATGCGCGTTTATTTATTATTAAAAAGAATACTTATTATAAGTATTTTTTATAAATTATTATTATTAAAAGATTATATTTTGAAGAGGAATATTATTTACGGAGAACACGATAAACAGATAGCCAGACTGACACTTATTACAATAGATTTCCATACCTCTTTTTTTAAATGTAACAGGAGGCAAACGGGCTACCTGTGATACCGCCCGCCGCCCATGGACACACACATTGCCAGAAGGCTAGCTAGCAAGTGCGTTGCCGGCCTTTTAAGATTGGAACGCACTTTTTTGAATGACCCTAAGTCGAATTGGTTCGGAAATATTTCAGCTGATTCCACATAGTGCGTGGCAAAACCTGCCTTAAGAAACGCTCAGTTGTGGAACGACGGACGTCGAAGTGATACGGATGGTATTTTGTATTCTGCATTGACGTCCGATGATGAAACTCAGCTGCAGGTATTATCTGTGTTACCTCACCCAGGCGCAAGAGGGTGCTTTTAAATGCCCCAACACATATATAATATTATAACAGCTGATCCTGTACGACTTAGCGGCTGTCATGGCACCTGTAAGCCTCCTGGCTCTGCAGGTGTTCACAGATGATAAGCATTTTGAGTACGTGCATTTAAAATTAACGGGCTTAAAAACTATAATACTTTAAATTAAATTTACTGCCACAACAGTTATTCAAACATTTAATTAGGAACAGAAAGATCACTGGGTTTTTAATTAATTAGCATTACGGCAACACTTTATTGCTATAAAGTGCTAGGAACATCAGGGAAAATGTAAAATTTTTAAATTCAATATTATTAATCTATTATTATATTTATTATGGTTAATATCTTTTAAAATCTTTCGTTGCGAATTGAAACCCGGCCAAGCAATAATTTACGCAACTACAAGCGGAGGGAAAACATTTGATGCTTTGTTTATTTATTAAAGTTTACCACGTCATACATAGTACTAAATCTACGGTATATGTTACAAAGTCTTTTATCTATGGTTTATGGTTTGTGGACTCAGTTTCCGCACTTAGACTCTCAGTAGATCCGTTGTGCGTAAGTCTTTTATCTAAAATGTATGACAATTTGGGTAAACATAACTGATACAAAAAACGTATTAAAAAATACAATGAAATATACAAGATAAAATAAAGGTACAATAAGAATACCTACCAGAAATATTTTGTTAAGCAGAAAAAAAATACCAGCGAAACAGCGGATTAGGTTCGAGATAGGCACTTAGCAATGCTTTCTTTAAAACCGATCAACCCACTACCGAATATATCCACCTCCGATTTAAAATAAATAAATCAGTGGCGCTACAACCTTTTAAGTCTGCCCTGCGATTCTGTAACTCACTTTTCGAACTCACACAGCGGTTTTTGCATCGACGGTCGCTCTCAAATCAGTCGTGAAGCAATCATTTTATGATTTGGCATTTGAAAAGGTGGAATTTTATTGTTTATCACATGCGAAAACCGCTGTGTGAGTTCGAAAAGTGAGTTACAGAATCGCAGGGCTGGGCCTCACATTTCTGTATCCAGTATGTCATGATAATTTGTAAATCTAATAGGCAAGTAGGTGATCAGCCGCCTGTGCTTGACGCATGGCGTCGACTTTTTGTGTCAAAGGCATGCCGGTTTCCTCACGATGTATTCCTTCACCGTTCGAGCGAATGTTAAATGCGCACATAGAAAGAAAGTCCATTGGTGCACAGCCGGGGATCGAACCTACGACCTCAGGGATGAGTGTCGCAAGCTGAAGCCACTAGGTCAAGACCGCTTATGCTCGTCGGTTATGGGTATATTTAACTTGTCCTTTCTCTAGAACCTACTGGAGTTGGTCCAGGTACAAAAACATTTACGACACGGCCTACCTCTCGATTTTATCATCTATATATTGTATATCGCTTTTTATATAGCTTATAATCCCCTAAATAAATAGTGAGTTCATGCATAATATAATATAGTTCGTGATTCATAGCAAGAAGACATTTAAATTGAAAACGTTTGAGACAAAGACTGTTAAAGCAACTTAAAAGTTTAAGAGCGAGGCTTTAAAGAGATTTAATTAAGATAAACGAGTATTTTAATTGAGAAAACTTACGTTAAGCCGCAAAGGATAAGTCATTCTTCAGTCGTATGAGTTTATGTGATATATTTTACTTTCCCCGTCTCATAGAGCAGAAAAATAAGATTATATTTTATATAAGAATGTTACTCATATTTTATACCGTACTTGATTGTGTTTAGTTATTAATTTAATTAACGTATTTTTTTTATATTGATTCTCCGGGAAATAAATCCACAGACATTGCAAATTTTTCTTTTCTTAAAGAAAGAAAATAAAATTGTAATCTAATATATAAAATTCTCGTGTCACAGTTTTCGTTGCCATACTCCTCCGAAACGGCTCGACCGATACTCATGAAATTTTGTGTGCTTATTGTGTATGTCTGAGAATCGGACAACATCTATTTTTCATCCCCCTAAATGTTAAGGGTAGTCCACCCCTAAATATTTTTTTTTAATTTTTAGATATTTATTTTCTGTTTTTATTTTTTTATGATACAGCATTAAAAAATACATACAAACCCCTAACTTTCACCCCTCTACGATCAACCCCTATTTTTTTATTATAAATGATATATATGGCAAAACGACGTTTGCCCGATCAGCTAGTTTTATATAAGAATGTTACTCATATTTTATACCGTACTTGATTGTGTTTAGTTATTAATTTAATTAACGTATTTTTTTATGTTGATTCTCCGGGAAATAAATCCACAGACATTGCAAATTTTTATTTTCTTAAAGAAAGAAAATAAAATTGTAATTATAAATATAAGTATGTTATAGAAGAGCTGGGAACACATGTATTTTTTACTTAAAACGGTTCCCAAATCTTACTCTGACTTATATATATATATAAACACTTTTTTATTTCTTCGATATAATATGTAATCAAACAAATCTGGACTTAAGTATCTCGATTTAGACGTCTGAGTTTCATCAGCCTATTATAATACATCATTAAAGGTTGAATTAATTTGACATCCACCCACTTTATAATGTGTCATCAACATTAAAACAGCGCTGTGATAAACGACCAGACATCATTTAGTATCAAATTACAATCTGTCCACCAATTACCATTCGTTACATTGCATTCATTGAATTAAAACACTTGCTATGTATACGCTTATTGCATTCTTCTGTTTAATATCTGTCTCATTAACGGCCAATGTTAAATGGATCCCGAACACAAATTTCAATTTGCCGCTCAATTTTAAAGATGGAAAAATTCCCTGTTCAAAGCAAAGTGTTATTTTTCCTGACGTTCTTAATGGCTTTATTAACATAAACTCTGAAGTGGCAGTTGATAGTTTAGTGTTGCCATTAGATGGAGAGTTTGTTTTGTCAGATGGGTCAATAGAACTGGGAGCAACGGAAGATAACTGTACGAATTCTGGAAATGTTTACTTCTTAGAAAAGTCCGTTTCGTCCTGGGCTCAACCTGACGTATGGAGCTCTCCAATGTTCAATAAAGCCACACCAGATGCAGAAAGAATTCCCTGTTTTGATGATGTTGTCGAGTTTCCCGAAAATTCGGTTTTTACGGTATCTTTACCAGAAATAAATCAAGTGGTCAGAAGTATTAGGATTGGCGGTGAAACATTTGATTCACATTCATTTGCTGATTTCGTGTCAGGTTCTGAAAAGTTCATTATGAATCAAGAACAAGAAACTGGAGTTGTTGTCAAGTATAAGCAGTGCATATCCCGCAGTGGCTGCCCATGCCAGGAAAACTATCTGACAATAGATTGTGCTGCGAAATTTTGTCAAGTACCCACATGTGTTGATCCAATACAGCCCATAGGACACTGCTGTAAGATATGTGGTGGAGTAATAAATTTTAAAGTCGATCAGAGTTTTGATATTATGATTTTTCGAGAACTTGTCGATAATGTTGTCGAAAGCTACGGTAAGGATGATTTTGATTATCATATTGGAAAAATTGGAGAGAAAGTTCAACTGGTAGTGACAAATAAAGGAGAATATTCTGAAACCAGTGCACTAGTGGTTAACGATATTGATCGACGTATGGAGAAACATTGGGTACAAGGGATCAAAGAGTCTGTTATAAGTGGTACTCCGTTATCGAAATATGGCATGAGTGGAAAGATATTTATATCTATGTTCTTCACTGTCGTGATGATCTTCGGCGCAATTTATCTTTACTATTATAAATTCCCTGAAATAAGAATTCCAGTATTGGGTGGACCTTTTCTGTCTCGATATGGAAGGACTGATAGCGTTGTATCATTGACTAGAAGAGATTCTGTAATGACAACCCGTTCGGGAATCAGTACAGCTTTCAGAAACCCAATGTATAATTCGAAGAGGGAACGAGTAGTTGTCGCTGAAACAAGTGATGATCAGTAAACTGGTATACAATAAAAAATATTAAGTATAATTAAAAATGTATTTATGAATAAGGAAACATGACAGACATATTACAGATACAAGATATGTAAAAATATATATAAATAAATAAATGAGTACTACAACCTTTTTAAGTCTGGACCTCTGTATCTATTTCATGATCATATTTTGTCAATCTAATATACAAGTAGGTGATCAGCCTACTGTGCCTGACACACACCGTTTGTTGATGTTTTCCTTTACCGTTCGAGTAAATGTTAAATGCGCACATAGAAAGAAAGTCCATTGGTGCACAGCCGGTAATCGAACCTACGACCTCGAGAATGAGAGAAATATATACAAGTTATAATTATAGAAGTGTCCCTAAATGGTTTCACAGTTTTTTTATACGGGTATTAGTAATACAACATACAAAAACAACAATAATAGGAAAATTAAAACACAATTAAAAGTACATACACAAATGACAATTTCAACAACGATTTTAAAGGCGCTTACAAGCAGTAGAGCACGACCACATTCAATTCCTCTTTACTTAACTCAAAGACTAGTGCACAGACTAGCAAAGGACCTTTAAAACATTATAACCTAAATATCAATCAATCCTAAGTCAAGTAAAATGTAAACGCGTGTACTAGACAGGCGTTGTTATTTGAATGATTTATTCCTTGTGGTAAGCAATATTAAAAGCAATAAACATCAAGCCTTTACAAAGTGAAAATAATATCGTTGGAAGAAGTAACTCGACACTCGCCGAGTGTTCAGAATCATTCGCGAGTGAGGCCTTTGAATTTGAACTCAATCAATAGTATTGGGTTTCTTGAAAACAACTCAAAAGACTCACTGTCATGAGCCTCGTTAATCATCTTTTGTTATTGTCTCTACGACAGAAATCAGTGCAACTTCACAGCTGAGCGTTTTGTAAGGCAGTTTTTGCCGCGCACCACCATGTAGAACCAGCTGCCCCCTGAAGTATTTCCGAACCATTTTGACGGTCTTTTAAGAAAAGAGCGTACCAATTCTTGAAAGTCCAGTAACGCACTTGCGAGCCTTCTGGGAATGTGAGTGTCCATGGGCGGTTTATATAACATCAGGTGGGCCTCATGCAGCGGGCAGAGTACGTCCTAGCCCCAAATTTGCACGGATGGATTTTTCTACATTATGTACACAATTAATACTTTATGCAATATATATTAAAATGAGACCGTTTTCCGTTTCACGACATAACATGAAAACGGCTTGACATTTGTCTATTTTTTTAATATTCTTATATGGTTCTTACGGAAAAAATATAAAAAAATGATAAAAGTTTCTATAGTCCCATACAAAATATTCTAATAATTAAAATTGACTTTATACATAACAAAGTTCATAGGGTTACGGGAAGCTATATTTTCTAAAATACATGACAATTATCTAAAATATAAATTAATAAAATATACACTTCCAGTTTTAGATTTTACTAGTAATTATTAGCTTATTGTTCATCAAAAAATTACCAGCAAAACAGCGGAATAGGTATCAGATAGGCGCTTGCTTTTTTAAAATTGATTAGCCCATTGATTATTCTTTTTTTTCGTAGTCTCCAATACTGAAGGTTGTGCCTGTCTTAAAAAGCCCTAACCGATAGGTTGACTTGCTGCCTCTACACGGCTCTATCCTCAGCTTGTCTTGTTAGGGATGCTGAGACCCATAATTGCCTTAATTTGGTCAGACCAACGGGGTGACCGACTTGACCTGCCATCACTACGCCCTACCATTACCAAAAGTGTAGATTCTATGGAATGTCTTTTTTCTCGTCATTGTTTCATTCTATGTCGACTGAATCAAAATACTACTATATCGGAGAATTACAATAATTTGCAGTTCGTAAAAGCAAATTCTTCGTAATGTCAAAACTATAACTATTTCATAATAAGACAAATCAAATTTAATGTAATACTTAAGTATTTAAAACCTACAACAATGATTTCGTAGATTTTTTAGAAAAATGATTTTTATACTTAAAATATAAAAAAAATTGTACACATAAAAATTGTTGTCGTGGTTGAAATAGCTTTGAGTGCAGCATATCGTGTCGAATGATGTGTAAAGCTTGAACAAAGCGTGTACTCACGAACAGTAATTGTCACTGCCATTGTTTCGGCCGTTGATTTATGTCGACACCGCGATACGCGAGCAAGAATGTCAAACGGTTCACGATGACAACTAAAAGAACATGTCTTGTAGTTTGGGTTAGTCGCTATTGTTTCGTGAGGACTTTACAAAATCTAAATTCAAATGCTGGTGGTTATAGGACAAAACAACACAAATTATGTAAGAATAAAGACTACTGACAATTTTGTAGTCAGAACTTACATGACATAAATATGGTTGTAACCAAATTTATCTAACTCTAGACCTCACTCTGGAGCCGCTGTATTGTGGGTAACTAGATAACAATTATTGTTTAAAACAATGTTTTTAAAAACGAAACTCGTGTAAGATCTTAAGTATGAGTATGTATGTGTGCGTAAAATACACGTATGTGGCTGAGAGGTATTATAAGAGTATCTATGTTAGTTCTTGAAACCTTAGAGCCCAAATATGCAGTAAGGCCTCTGCATAATCGAAATCTAAATTGGCAAGCATAATTGTATCTCGATAGATCGAATGTTAAAATCCACAGATCGAGCGATTTTGATATACTTCAGGGTTGAGAACTTCATATCTATAAAACCTCCACTGACTGACACAGGCTATATTAAACTTAAAAAAAAGTGACCTAATAAAAATGCAATAATATAATCCAAGGTGTGAAATTATCCATTAAAAATCTGTCATCGCGTGCGGTGTGGAAACTATTGATGATAAAACAAAAAAACAGTATTATAATCAATAACGTATCAATATATACAAAAATAATGTTTTATCCATGGGCAATTGTATGTTGGCCTATCCCGAGTAGGAACTCCAAAACACGAAATTATGTTGCTGCCACAAAACAAAACTACGCCAAATGTTGTATTTAGGGAAGTTCTAACTAGATAGATCTAGATAGACACTAAAGTTCTACAAATAAATCTCTTCACTAATAGTATAGAAGAAAGTTTTGTATTTTGAATTTTGTTTTTATTTTTAATAATTTATAATAATCAAGCTAGCTAGTAGACTTTTCAATACCACGAGATCGATATCTACGCGAGTGAAACCGCGGGGCATTGCTAGTATTTTATAATTACATGTATTTATTCAAAAAAATAATAATATACTAAAATTAAACGAGCCTATTGTGTAGCCATATCCAATTCATATGATTCATTGACATTTTCAACAACAACAACTAATGTGATTTCACATGTTATATTGTCTATTTCATTAGAACCAGTTTTACGGGTTATTAAAAAAATAAACGTCGTCTTTCTCCGCCGGTTTTTACAATAAAGTGCTAAACTATATTACTTAAGTTATGTAGTATTTACAATATACCTAACCTACATAGTAATAATAATAAAAAATAAAAATAGGTAAAAAACTACAATATATTCAAAAAGTTTGGTTCCTGTGTACCTTTAATGCTAGCAGCATTTCCTCGCTGTATTGCGATACTTATTCGAGCGAAGAAAGCACCAGCTCTGAGTCACGAGTACTATCTAACTTCAAATATAATACGTGTAAAGATGTAAGTAATATTAAGCATTAAAATCGTGAATAATCGAATTTAATTAACTTTACTACAACACCATAAAAATGGAAGCATAAAACTATTTCAAGTATTGAACTAAAATATATCAAAACGCTAAAGAAAACTTATGTTTTGGCTTATAATGCATGGCCCCAGATATAGCGTATACCAGTTATATAATAAAAAAATATTATGAAAAGTTAATAAATAAACGTTATCTGTAATACGATGTGTTTTGTTTGAAACTTAATATTAAACTGAAGCTTACCACGAAGAAGTGGAAATAGATAGACCATACCCGTCTAAGGGATTCCAATCATATCCCCAAGCAGGCGCTTTATTGGAACCCGCAAGCAAAGCGGAAGTGTGGCCGTCCCAAGCAAATAGATGAGGAAAAGGACCGGATAGACAACACAAGGCTCAAGAACAAACGCGATTTAGACAGTAAGACAAGGCTTAAAAGTTAAAGAAGAAAAGGTCCAAGAAGGGCGCACCACCTTTTAAAAGCTCGGCAGCACGCGAGAGGCTTCTGGCAGTGTGAGTGTCCATGGGCGGCAGTATCACTTAACATCAGATGAGCCTTTTGCCCGTTTGCCTATTGTAACAAAAGAAAAATTAAAACAAAGTTCAATTATACGAATTTACTGTGTAGAGACTCACTGTAGAAAATATAATAAAAATCTATAAATAATTTTGATTATCTATGAGCGTGGAATTAAATATTAAATTCTTTGAATCATTTAAATCCATTGCACATTTACTTTATGATATCAATATCACTAAACAGGATATAATAAAGAAGAGAAGTTTGTTCCCTGCAAATCATAAGTTTCATACTTAAACAGAAAGGCTGTTATTGTACAATCTGCTGGTTGGCCCGAAACGCTCTTGATATTTTTTCAGGACCTGATTATAAGAAGGGAAGGGACACTTATCACTCTCAAAGGTTCCTTTGTTATATTTCGTAATTTAGTCTCTATTTTAATTTTTATCTATGTAAACTTATAACTTAAAATTACGTAAATTATAAAAAGAAAATAATAAGTTTTTATAAACTGATTATTTTCTTTTTTATGTGAGGTCTTGTTGCCTAAATAAATAGTTCAATCTTTAACCGTAAAGAGACGTAGCGATCTAGAGTTAATCTCGCTCAATCGCCCTCAATAGCAGCGTACAACATCGAAACATTTGTCACGGTGAACGGTGCGACGCTTCTAAACGCGTCGACTTGCACTTTACGGTCCCATAAAGTATGAGCGTGCTTCTATGACGTTTTATTTTTTGCAATTTTCAATATGTGCTAGTGAAATTTATAACGTTTATATTGTAGCGTTAT